TTATGGAGATGGTTGCCATTCAGATTATTCTCCTGTGCTCTGCCCGGTTAACTTAACCTCAGACCCCTGACTGGCTGAACGATCCATCCTGTCCACAAGTCTGCTCCAGGATACTTCTGCCTTGTTGGACCGCGTCAACCCCTTCCTATTCATCCATCCTTTTGTAATATGACTGCCCCAGTCTCTCTCCATGCACAGATTGATGTTAACCCAGAACAGGACAGTGATGTACACAATCAGAAAATAAAAAATGTATAGTATAATATAGAAATATTTCCAAACAGGAATGTTAAAAGTTGAAGACATATGTTTAAAGAATTTAAGAGAAAACGCTTTTCTATAGAGGAATTATTTTCTTTCCTCCTTCCCCTCCCTTACATACTGAATTATATCTCAAAACCAGAGTTGTTACTAGATTTTTAACATAGGTGAGGGTGATTGGCCATGTTGCAGATTTGTTGACAGGAGATGTACTTAATTCTGGGTTTGTTTAATTCTGTTGTGTTCAACCCACAGGGCAGTTACATCTCTGCTGAGTTTACTCTTGCATTTGGTTTAGGCTACTTTCCTGATTTCTCCTCAGGGCATAGATAAAAAGAAATACTTTCTTACTGCAGTTGTTACATGGATTGGGAAGGAAAAAGAGGAGGACAAAGTTGGCATGGGCAGAGATAATACAAAGAAGTAGAGAACAGTCTTATGGGAGCCACGATAAATCTAGTCGAAGATTTGTATTTGCATTTGCATGCAAATACCAATATAAAAGATAAATACTATAGAAGACATAACAATAAGTACACTGCTTATCACCTAGTGAGTGATGGGCTCAGGCTGCACATTCTCGTGGAGTGGCCAGAGCTGTCTTGCCGGATAAATTGTGGCTTGAACTGGGCCTTGGTAGGTCACCAGACAGAAAGAAGGGGCATTTTGAATGGGAAAAGATTTGTGCAAAGGCATGGGTAGTGCTGTGGGGAGGGCTCAGAAGTGGTTCTCTGAGTACAAGTGGAAACTAAGATTGGAAGGACAAGTTGATACCAACTTGTTGAGGGCCATGAATATCAAGCTGAGGCATTTTGAGCTGATTTCCAGAAGCCCTGGAAAGTCATTCCCATGACTTGGTGGTGGTATCCCTGACAGATTGGTGGGGGCAGAAGCCAGAGGCACAAGACCAGTCAGGAGGTTCTTGTGATGATGTAGCCTTTAAAGGAGGAGGGCCTGAACATTAATGGTGACAGAGTGGAGAGATGGAAATGGAGTCTAGGTACATATCAAGGGTGTAATCAGTGGCACTTTGGTGAGTACTAAATGTAAATATTGGTGGGGTCAGGATGACAGAGAAACAGGAGAGACAGAAGCCAAAGACCCGGTGGCTTCAAGCCTGAGTGACTGGAAGAATGATTGATGGATATAGGAAGCTAGGAAGTGTGGCTGGTATATAACCTTGGCTTGTTATAATGCTTTCATTGTTGTTGTTAGGTGCCGTCGAGTCGGTTCCAACTCATAGCAACCCTTTGTACAACAGAACCAAACACTGCCTAATCTTGCACCATCCTCACAATCGTTGTTATGTTTGAGCCCATTGTTCAGCCACTGTGTCAATCCATCTTGTTGAGGGTCTTCCTCTTTTTCGTTGACCTTCTGCTTTACCAAGTATGATGTCCTTCTCCAGGGACTGGTCCCTTCTGATGCTTTCATTAGACTTGCTAAAAGCCCTGTAGGGGATGTAACCAGCTCTGTTGCATACTGGAAGAATAAGTTTTTGCCTTAGGAAAAAACAGAAGAAAGAATACCAAGCCTGATTGACCTACATAACATTACATATACCTGCTTGCAAGTAGAAGTCATAGCCATTTGGGAAAAAAGTATGGTTCACTTTCTTTGACCAGGTGAAATGTCTTGGTTTGGATACCTTCCTCTCTTACCACCTACCATTCTATTGCATCCATTCTTGCTACTGTCTAATTCATAGTAGGGTGTATTGTCATTTGTTTTTTGTTAGCCAGCAGTGTACTTCAATATAATCTGAATGAGATGGGCCTGAATGTGGTCATGTCCATCATCACCAAGTGTAACAGCCCTCTTGACTTCCTGGCATTAATGTGTAAGGCCAAGGAGAAGCAGTCTCTGAAGCTCTGTTTCCATTTAATTTAGGAAAGCCATCACGTTCATCTGCTGGCATAACAATTACGGGCTTAATTTTTTTAGTTGTGAGCAAAGGCAGCTTGCTCTGTGTACGTGGACTTGGCATTCTCTTTTCTGTGGCTGCTGGCCCATTGACCTCATCATTTGGGTTCTGTGTTCTTGTAGTGGAACCAACACCACAAAAGTGAAATGCTGTATTTTCCAGAGTCACGCTACATGTGATTGTTTACAATGACGTAAGGCTTTAAACTTAAGTTCAGCCCTCCCAAGATTGGCCACAAATGTGATGGTTGGAAGGGTGAGCTCATGTGCAGAAAAATGATTGAGAGTTTCCCTAATAAAGCGTTAGGTTAATAACCACAGACTGTCCTGCCTGAGCTCCCCTGCTTATTCAGGCCATTAGAAGCAGGAAGTTTGGTACCCCGATGGCTGCCCCTGGGTCTCAGCAGATTGGTGTCTCTTAACTACTTTGGGAGAAGCTGCTGTATTTTGTAATTGTTAGAAAATGAGGAGTTGACTGCTCAAAGGTGACCTTTTCTTTTGTACCCAGTCTGCAGTGTACAAAGGCATAAGTGTAATCACCAACAAGAAAATGATGTTCAGCAGCTGACACACAGGTCTAAAAGCAGATAGAGTATGGAAAGGATTACCTACTCTGACTTTATTGGAAGTTAATGTTCATCATCCAAATGTTAGAGAATTCATTTTCATGTATTGCTTTCTAGAGTCAGACTTTGTTATCACTGGTAAAGGCCTTTAATAACCTCCTTTTACTCCATTTTCCCCAGTGTTCATCTTGGACTTTTCAGGTCAGGCTAGTTGGTATCTACATGAAATTCAGTCTTCTGCTCTCAGGAGTGGCTCTTCATATTAAATGATCATGTTAACAGTAATAATGTTGTTGTTGTTAGGTGCCGTCAAGTTGGTTCTGACTCATAGCGACCCTGTATACAACAGAATAAAATACTGCCCGGTCCTGTGTCATCCTGACAATCAGTGCTATGTTTGAGCCCATTGTTGCAGCCACTGTGTCAGTCCATCTCATTGAGGGTCTTCCTCTTTTTCACTAACCCTCTACTTTACCAAGTATGGTGTCCTTCTCCAGGGACTGGTCCCTCCTGATAACATGTCCAAAGTACGTCAGATGAAGTTTCACCATACTTGAGTCTAAGAGACATTCTGGCTGTACTTTTTAAAAAACATCTTTTATATGTATTACTGTGTTCAGTCCTCACAAACATCTCTGTGAACCAGGTAGTATCAGATTAATTTTATGGATGAGAAAACTAAGGTTCAGAGATTTGCCCCAGGTCATCAAACAAGCAAGTGGTAAGGCCAGGATTTTAACCAAGTCTGTCTGCATTCAAATTCCATGCTCTTCTTATTCTGCCCCATTCACATGAGAAAAGCCTTATGCATCTGCAGCGTGATCTGTAGTTCTATTATTATTCCCCTCTGGTAACTTAGGGGGCACTGGCTTTTCACAATTGATGGTTTATTCTGGGACAAAACCAGTGGAAGCAGAGAGAAGGGCTTTGGCTCCAGACTCAGCTTTCAATCCCCGTCTTGCTTTCAGTTCCAGTTCTGCCATATTTGTTAGCTGTTGTAGCCTTAAGCAAGTTTGTTGTTCGTTGCCATAGTGTCGGCTCTGACTCCTGGTGACTTTATGTATAACAGAACCAAACGTTGCTCAATCCTGTGCCATATTCATGATTGTTAGTATATTTGAATCCATTGTTGTGGCTATTGTGTCAATCCGTCTCATGGAGGGTTTCCCTCATTTTCATTGGCCCTCCACTTTACCAAACGTAATGTCCTTTTCTAGCTAGTGGTCTTTCCTGATGACATGTCCGAAGTAAGCGACTCAAAGTCTCGCCATCCCTGTTTCTAAACCTGGCCTCTTTAAGCCTCGGGTTCCACCTCGGTAAATGGGAATGATAGAAGTACTCATGCTCAGGTTTGTGAATATTGAGTAAGACCACATATGTAAAAGCACATAGCACAATGGCCGGCACAGAGGAAATGGCCCATAAACGTTAAGGGCTGTGTCAGCATCACCGTCATCAGGTAGGGCCAGTGTTTCCTAAAATGTTACTTTGTTGGTCTGGTTCACTATCCCACTGGCTCCAGATTGACAATTGCATACTGGCCTCAGTCTTGGCCGAACAGACCTCCTTTATCCTAGATTTAAGGATATCCTACAAGCCCTTCTATTCTCAGTGCTTAAAGACTTCTCACTTCACCTCATCGCTCTGACAGGAATCCCATCAACGCAAGGTGCACTTTCAAAACTCCTCAAAGCATTGTGAAGATGAGTACCTTAAGTTCCCAGTCATTCAAAGCTTGATATGGATGCTCTCCTTCACTTTCTTCCTAAAACAAAAAGAGAGGGGAGTGTGTGTTGATGAGGAATTAGAGGGAGAGAACTGTATGGCCCAGGGTAGAGGGTGAGGGCAAAGCCAGAAGAGATTCTTTGAGTACTGAGGGCCGGTGGCGGGAGGGTGGGTGAGAAGCCCAATAGCCTACCAAAAGGAAGCTCATGCACTGCCTACTTTTTATATGAATGGCAGCTTCTGATCACAGGAAGCCAAGGTATACTGTTAAGTAGTAGTCTTCATTTTCCAAGACACATTGGCTCCTCAGGAAGAGGATGTACTGCTCAATAGAAATCTTCAAACACACCACCTCCAGCACACAGCAAGCAACCGAGCTGAGCCAAGGAGTCTGTAAAACTTCTTTGCGATAAGGCCAAATATTTACCATCCCACCTGGCTCCTTTTTTTTTTTTTTTTTTTTAACTCTAATTATCTCAAGTGACTTGAGGTAATTAAATAAAAAGGCATTCTTTCTATTTTCAGTGCAGATTATTTCCGAGCAAGCAAGTAGTATCTTCCCAGCTTCCCTGAAGCCACTGTGAGTAAAGAATTGTTATTTTTGAAAGGAATGGGGAGATGAATTATTTGTGTGTTATGAAAGCTGCTATACTGGCAACCCTTTTCTGCTGAGGAGGTATAATAAACAGCTCTACCCCTACTTCCCACCTTGAAGCCTCAGGCTTGCCCTCGAGGAGACTAACCTTGAAGGAAAAACAACCACCATGGCCCTGTAACTAAGACTGAGTGAGAGGCTCCCCACTTTGCTTCACCTCAAAAAAAAACTGGGTCTGCATTCTTCTCGTGCCCTAAGGCATCAGCCCCCAAACCGGAAATCCTCACCTGCAGAGTGACATTTACAATCTCAGACACAGTTCCTGTTCTGTCTTCGGAGCAACGTTGGTGTATACAGGCTGGAAAAGAGGAAAAGTGTGTTACTTTTTTTATCCAACAACTTATAACTGTGTCAACACATAAGACAGTCTGTCATAGCTTTCTGCTGGTGTTGCTGCTGTGAATTAATTTTGAACGTCACTTGTGAGCAGTAAACACTTTTGCAGTGTGAACAACTCTTTGTACAGTAGGAGTTGTCAACAGCTTGCTGTTGACAAGGGGGGGAACAAAACAGAAGAGGCCGCCTCCCTGGCGAGTTAAGTTGGCTGGAGTACGAGGAGCAGAAATTTATCACCACTCCCACTTTCCAGTTTTGTCTTTTCTGTGAGATTTTCAGTAAGACCAGAGTATAACCTTAATGTGTTGAATTGAGATCTGCCTAAGCCACCAGACCTTTGGCCACTTCTTGCTGTCTTAGAATTGATTCTAGAATTTATGACTGCTGGTCCACATCACTTGTGTCGTTAAATTTTGAAAGAACATATCACCATTAAGAGCAAGACAGTAACACACAACACATGTCCCAGATACTGACTTGACAGAGGGTTGCCTCAGGTGTTTAAATTATATTACTGTGATGTTGACTATTTAATTGAGCTTCATTCACATAGTAGAAGACAGTCACTGATACTTCACTCAGGTCGACACATCCAAGTAGCTATATTCATTTTCACTCTTTCGTTTTCTTTTTGTGTGTTATGTTTGAAGGTCCATTCCCTCTCATCTCCTTCTCATCCCCTATCCAGATATCAGCATCTACAGTTTTCCAGAACTGAGACAGACCCAAGGACTTCCCTCCCTGCATGCCCTGACAGTAGCACCAAGGATTATTTTATGACACTACAGCAGCACGCTTCCTTCACTCCGACCCAGATTTTTGAGATGTGTTCCACACTTCCCAGTCCTTTTAAAACCTGTAAGAATCTGTTGTGCATAATGTTACTATTCTAGTAGCTACTGAAAAATATGTTAGCCTACATAATCCCTAAGGTCAGTGTGCTTCATATATTTAGATAGAACCTGCTGTAGAAGGTCATGCTTACCTTTTTATCCTAAGATTCCTTTCTTCAGGCTTTAGAACGGGGCCCGGCTTGTTCTGATATCCTGGAATGTGTTAAATAAATCCTTGTTCAACCTATTCATATCCGTCAGACTGCAAAGTGGAGTCTAGCGACTTTCTCTCCTTCCTTCCTCCATTCCTCAAGCCCTCCCTCCTCAGCACCTGGTACGGTGCTTTTTCTGTATGTGGAAAACGCTCAGTAAATGAGGGTGACTGATCGGTTGCCCTTCACAGATGAAGCTGCAACAACTAGAAGATGACAGGGTGGATGAAGTAGTTTTTTCACCCAGTGGGTGTCATCTTCTGGTTGAAAGAGATTACCAGGGACCCTGTAGGAAGAGCCCAGCTACTTGAGAGGTAGAGAGGGTGCAAGTGACAGGGTATGAGCCTGTGGTGGGTGCCTCTGTGACAAAACAGGTTTGAGACTGCCCAGGGAGTTGTGAGGGCTAAATGTGCCAAGAATGGGGCATGGTCTGTACATGCTGCAGCTGCTGACGCTGGGACAGCATGCACATCTGACCCTCATTTTTTCCGGTTCTAAACAGGGAACCAGTCTTACATCTGGTGAAGTGGATATGAAAACCAAAACCAAACCCATTGTCATCGAGTGAGTTACGACTCATGGGGACCCCATGTGTTACAGAGTAGAACTGCTCCATAGGGTTTTCTTGGCTATAATATTGACAGGAGCAGATTGCCAGACCTTTCTTCCACGGAGCCACTGGGTAGGTTCAAACTGCCAACCTTTATGTTGGTCGTCAAGCACAAACTGTTTGCACCACCAGGGCTGCCTAATGTGGACGTTACTCTTCTTTTTCCTAACAAGTCAACATTTGGAGAGGAGTGTTCTCTTTCAAAGGCAAACACTGTTTCTTCTGCCTGCCCAGGAGGATGGTTGGCTCGCCTGTCCCTGACTGTAGGAGAGAGACTAGAGATAAATCCATGTCATGCATCCTTCAAAGAGTTAAATAATGATGTTTTAAAAATGAGAATCATCGTGAAATGTATGTAACATAAAAGGCAAATGCAAACTACTTAAATGACAGGTGGCATCATTTGAAAAGGATGTGGGGGCTGATCCCAGAGAAGTGATCATACACAGCTGCATTAATTTGCCTAATCACTGGATTGCTGTAACCAGTGTCTATAAATAAACACACAAACTAATCTTTTGATTATCCTTTTTTATGGCACGTTTTCTTCGCTTTTTCTTCTTCGTGTCTTTTCATTGTGATTAAACCGTATTTCTAAACTCTGTAATTCCACAGATTCTTCTATAACAGTTATTTCAAGCAACCAAAATAACTCTGGACAGTTCACAAAGGGAGAAATACAGATGGCCAGTAAATGTATGGAAAGATATTCAGCTTTTGGATAGCATTTAGAAAAAGGCAGGGAAAAAAAATCAATGAACGTGATTTTTAAGCATCAGATAGGCAAAGATTAAAATTATTGGAAAAACTAGAGTGTTGGCAAGGGTATGAGGAAACCAGCGTTCACGTGCCAAGTCGACGGGCACTTTATGGTGGTACCGTATTTTGGGAAGGCATTTTGGCATGATGTGTCAGAATTATAAGAGTGCATATCATTTGACTTACCAAACCTACTTCTAGGGATTTAAGATAATAATGACAAAAGCATGTTTTCTTAAGGATGCATGTTCTCAGTGTTGTTTGTAATATGGAAAAAAAATGAGAAACGATAAGTTGTCATCAGAAGGATCTGATTAGATAAATTCGTGCACATATAGGAATTCTGTGTATCCATTAAGAAAGATCAGGTTTCAGCAGAGCTTCCAGACCAAGACAGACTAGGAAGAAAGGCCTGGCAATCTACTTCCAAAAATCAGCCAGCGAAAACCCTAAGGATCACAATGGTCCAATCCATTGTGCATGTCACCATGAATCAGGGGCTGACTCAACAGCAGCTAACAAGAACAACATATTTATTGTCAAGGACAGATGTTTACAACACCTTAGAGTGTGGAAAGCAGATTACAGAATAAGGGACCTAGCATATTTTCAGTTACATTAATCCAATGCTTCTCAAATGTTAATATGCAAGTGAACATTTCTGTTTAGACTGGGGTGGGCCTGAGATTCTGAATTAACCATTTTCCTGGTGTTGCCTATGTTGCTGGTCAAGGACCACACTTTCAGTAGCAAGGTTTACTGTACACATACACCTGTGTGAGGATACACACTGGAAATATGTCTGGAAATTTCCTCAAGATGGTAAATTTGGGTGATTTTTACTTTCTTCTTTGTGCTTTTCTGTATTGTTTAATACTTTATAATGCATGTATCTGTATCAGCTTTACATAAGCAATAGAACTTGTTTTTAAATAGTAGTCTGTTGAAAACAAGTCTTTTTAAAAGAAGTTGACTTCAAATCTAGTTCTTAAAAATGTGAGAGAGAGGCAGACCACCCTGGCTAGTCACTTTTAATGATGGTGGGTCGTCAGAATCACATGAGAAACTTTTGAAAAGCATAGATTCTCGAACCTGATCCCCAGAAATTTCTGATTCATCCATCTTGAAGTGCAGAAATCAGCATTTCACAAAAGCTCAATACGGGATTCTGAAGTATGGTAGTTTGGACCATTGACTTGGGCTTCAGATTTCTTATACATCAGTTTTCATGTGTTTAGAGATTTCCCCCTATTCCCCTGGTCCCTTCTCCTTTCAGAATCATTGTGCTTAGGGGGATCTGAAGGAGATGTTGGTGTTCACACTAGGACTTCTATTCCCAGTAGAAATGCCTTGAGGATTTTCTACCTCCTTCCTGAATGCCATCCCAGCCTTCTGCATTCGTTTCCTAGGGCTGCCATACCAACTACCACAAACTCGGTGGCTTAACACAATCAGAATTTATTCACTCAAAGTTCTAGAGGCCAGAAGTCTGAAGTCAAGGTGTCAGCAGGGCCACACCTCCTCTGAAGACTCCAGAGGAGCATCCTTCCTTGCCTCTTCCAGTTTCTGGAAGCTCCAGGCGTTCCTCGTCATGTGTCCGCGTAACTCCAATCCCTGTCTCGTTGTTACTTGATTTCTCATATGTGTCTTCTCCTTTTCTGTCTCTCATAAGGACACTTGTCATTACACTGAGGGCCCACTCGAGTAATCCAAGATGGTAGCATCTCAAGAGCCAAAACTTCATTACATCTGCAATGACCTTTTTCCAAATAAGATCACATTCACAGGTTCTGGGGTTAGGACACAGGCATATCTTTTTGGGGCGACACTTCAACCCACTACACCACCTAAGCAATTCAACAACAGTTTTGAAGTTAAGTGAAACATTCCAGATTTGCCATTTTGTTTTTCTCTAAGGTCGAGGGTTTGATTTGATTACTCTTTTCTAGGCACAGCTATATGAAGTTCTTCCATGAAAAAAATTGAACACTAGCAGTGAGCAGTCAGTATCTACACTAGTGACGCAGCTACCCTGTGTGGAGCCCAGCGGTTCTGTCCTCATGGGGCCTCTGCTTGTCGAGCAGTCTTCTTGTACCTGAGGAGCTCAGGCATATCCAGTACTGCTTCTGATTACATTTAAACTTCTTGCCTGAGCTCTGAGGTAAATGTGTCCTAACCTTCTTTCTTTGTCCAAGCTCTCCTTGGATGTGGAAATTATAGACATGTTTACTGAGAAGGAAAACTAATGCCTCAGTAGAAATTTAAGAAAATATCACAAGTTTGTTGGCTGTGTTTAACTGTACTTTGAATGGGTTCCAGAGCCACTTTCTTCCTGCCCCAGCCAGCATGGAGATCTTATTGCTCTCAGGCAGTCTTTTCCTGTAAACCTTTTTTTGGTTGTTTTTATTGTGCTAGTAAGGGAGGGAGAACTGTGTTTGATACTGAGACTAACACAAACCTATCTTTTTTAGTGTTTTACTGGCCTGATACTTGTTTGGTACATGTTAAAGTTTTCTCACAGTGGGTATTTTTGGTTGAGGAGGAGGTTTCTCAAAAATGCTGTTGCTAGTATCTGGTCATGCACAACTTCTGGGCATCCCCAGTGAAGTCCCTTTGGCCCAGGCAGAGATGTACATTTGGCCCACGGTGTGCTTTGCCTGGACTGTGTCATTTCCCAAAATATACAGGAGGAGAAACAGATTAGTCAGGGGCAGATTACCCAATAAGCAAGGTAAGCACAGGCTTACTTGTGCTTACTTACTAATCTCGAGTGAACAGTTTCACATGTCATGTGGTGAAAAACATGTGAAACTGTTGACTGCAGATCAGTAAGTAAGCACAAGTACCATGCTTACCTTGCTTACTGGATACTCCGTCCCTGTCAGGGATTATAATTTGAAAAGAAGGTGCTGTATGAAGGTGCTGTGGCATTGGGAGAGAGACAGATGCCAGCCATACCTAGAAGGAGAATCTTTGATGTGGTGAAAAAAATGTAAAATTGTTCACTACAGATTAGTAAGTAAACACAAGTAAGCCATGCTTACCTTGTTTATTGGGTAATCTGACACTGAGAGTAGTAAAAGGAAACCTTGTTCACCTAGAGTAGGGATCTGCCACTCCCTAATCAACCTTTACATTGGAAAACTCCAGCCTTTGTTACTTGGGAGGTTCATGTTAATGGAACCCGAGATAAACCAGTCTTAGAAATAAGTAGGTATCCTCACACCAGAAATAGGGGGCAAAAGGCAAAATTACTAAATACTTAAGCAACTCATGAGTAAAACTATTTGACCTTCTCTCTTTCCTTAGATGTGGGAAGGCTGTTTGCTCTGTAATACCTGAAATTTATATATGTTATTGTTAGATGCCGTCAAGTCAGTTCTGACTCATAGAGACCCTGTGTACAACAGAGCGAAACACTGCCCGGTCCTGTGCCATCCTCACAATCATTGGCTATGTTTGAGCCCATTGTTGGCAGCCACTGTGTCAGTCCATCTCGTTGAGGGTCTTCCTCTTTTTCGCTGACCCTCTACTTTACCAAGCATCCTATCTTTCTCCAGGGACTGATCCCTCCTGATAACATGCCCAGAGTACAGGAGACCAAGTCTCACCATCAATTCATGACCATTGAGAAAAGTTAAAAAATAAAAATCAGGAAGAACAGAAGAAGAAACCACAACTACTTAGAGAGCCTCTGGTTCATGGTTGGTTGTTGTTAACTCACCTGACTGGGTTGGATGTTTTCTGGTTAGTTGAAAAATCAGTTAAAGGGAATATCATTTAAAAAAAAAAAAAAAAAAAAAGGACACAAACGTAGCCTAAATAATGTGTTTAACTTAAAGCTACAAATGGTCATTTGCCAATCTTTTGATGTCGGTCCAACACCTTTTCTTGGGGTTTAGGACTGCTGATTGGACTTCTGTGTCATCTTTCATTCACATTATTGCATGACTTCCACTTTCAGTCTCTGGAAAGTGGAAAAATTTTAAGACACTTGCAACACAATCTGAGTGTAGAGTCGTTCTAAATTTTTTATAATTTCTCCTGATCTTTCACAGTTGTCTTATTCATACCTAATTTAATAGCAGATGTCCTCCAATGAGTTGCTTCTTTCAAGTCTTCTCTTTCACTAAGTTTTCATAAACTTTATTTTCACACTTATATTTCATCAGCCAACATAATGTTTAATTAAATTATGTAATTACAGTAATAAGTACAGTTGGCATGAGCTGTTTAAGCATGCAGCTCAACTGGAGGGAAAAGACATGCTCCAAGGGTACCAGAGAGCATCCTACTGCATTCATATGACCACGGTCATCAGTTAGGATATTTCATAGAGGCGATGCAGGAAAATGATTCATCTACCTAGTCAATTAAGGTCTATCAGTTACTGTATATGTGCTACTTTATATGTTCTGAACCATACCAAGAAACTCATAGGTAAACAAACCTGTTCAGAAAGCAGATAATCTTAAAGGAGTCCCTGTGTGGCGCAAACGGTTAAGTACTCGACTACTAGCCAAAAGGTCGGCAGTTCAAACTAATCCAGAGGTGCCCTGGAATACAGTCCTGGTGATCTGCTTCTGAAAGATCGCAGCCTTGAAAACCCTGTGGAGCAGTTCTGCTCTGCACACATGGCTTGCCATGAGTCAGAATCAATTCAGTGGCAACTAACAACAACAACAAAAAGCAAATAATCTTAAAATGGTTTGAAGGGTTCTGCCAAACATGGGACCCACTTAGGGACATTAAGATCTGTAACAAGATATTTGAAGGAGGCTTATATTTACAAAAATATTTGACTTCTTTGGAAAGGCCAATAAGCACATCAGTGAAGACACTTGTGAAATAGGTAGACTTTGCTCTGAGAACCTTGATGAGCTTAGGAGAACTGATTTTTGTAAGGTTTATTCTGGTAAGATAGTTTTTTTGTTTGTTTGTTTGTTTCAAATCTGCTTTAACACATCATTGAGTCCTCACAGAATTTGGTCCTGTAAAAACGACGTGAGGGCGGAATCTGATCTCCCCTAACTCCACAAGGAGAAGGGAGAGTCAAGCTCGATAACACAAGGCTGACTCCCATGAGGTGGAGGCCAGACAAGTTTCGTCTCTCCGCCATCTTTACTGATTCTGACACCGACTGTCCCTCGTACAACACTCTCTACTTCTCTGTTTGAGTTCAGTAGTTCACGGCAGTGGCCACACAGAACTCATAGACCATACTGACGATTATGGGGTTCATTAGGGAAGTAACAGTTACAATTCAGGCTCAGGAACACTCAGGATACCATTCTTCCATCAGGATAGCCTCTCCCCAGCGGTGCTTGCAGGCATGCCTCTCCCTGGTTCTAGGCCTCTCCCCAAAGTCACTCAGCTTTCTCTCTCTGTGGGAAGCCCACCACACCGTCCCCTGCTACTGGGTCTCTGCTGCCAGGTCCATCCTGCCACCGCTTGCGGTCTTCAGGGTTACAGCTTGCTCTGTCTCACTCTGTCTCCCTCTTCTAGGAGCTTCTCAGCACAGAGATCCCAGGTCCAAAGGACACGCTTTCTGCTCCAGGCCATTCTTCCTTGGTGGTGGTAGGATCCTCCTCTCTGTTTTGGAATTGGCTCTCTTTTAAGGCAAAACTGACCAATCCCCTTGTTGTTGTTGTTGTTAGGTGCCGTCAAGTCAGTTCTAACTCATAGTGACCCTGTGTACTACAAAATGAAACACTGCCCAGTCCTGCGCCATGCTCACAATCGTTGTTATGCTTGAGCCCATTGTTGCAGCCACTGTGTCAATCCATCTCATTGAGGGT